GTGTACTTCATAAAAATTAAATTCTTTTGCTAATGAAAAAACACCATTAAGAAAATTAGAAAAATAATCTACTGTGAGGAGATATTCACAATAATTATTTCTGAAAGACTTATATTGAGAATATATTTTTAAAAACTACAAGTCAAAACCAAAAGGACAAACAACCCCATAAAGAATAGGCAAAAAAATCTGAATACACACGAGAACAGAAGACATAAAAAGGTCCAAAGCACATGAAAAGGCACTCGACATTATTAGTCATATACAGAAATGCCAATTAAAAATGAAATACATAGGCTTTTGCTGACATTTGGCTGGTGATAACTTCATACCCAGTAGGATGACTAAAAATAAAAGACTGACAATGACGAAGAGTTGATGAGAATGTGGAGTAACTGGAGCCCTCATCCACTGCCAGTGTTGGGGGGGCGGGTTGCGGTATGGAAAATGCCACTTTAGGAAACTGCTTGGAAGTTTCGCAGAAAGTTAAGCAGTTAAGCATATACCTACTCTAGGACCCAGCAGCTCCACTCCTAAACATTGACCTGAGCAGAGTAAAAACATATGCACACATACAACTCGTACAAGAATTGTTATTAAAGCTTTGTTCATAATCGCCCCAAACTTCAAACGGTCTAAAGTTACACTAACAGGAAAATGAATGAACTGTGTATAACTGTACAGTGGAATGCTTCTCAGGAGCAAATAGGGAATTTCTGATACACGCAACAACATGCATAAATGTCAAAGACATTATGTTGAGTGAAAGAAACCAGACACAAAAGAGGATGTGTTATGTGAGCACATTTATTTGAAGTCCAAGAACAAGCAATACTAATATGGAGTGACAGGACCCCAAATGTCTAGGATGGGGATGGAGAGACTGATTGGAGAGGGCATGAGGGACTCTCGGAAGCTGTGGATATTCTCTGTCTCACAGGGAGTGGTGGTTACACAGATATTTACAATGTGAAAAAACTCATCAAACTGTACAGTGAACATCTGTGCATCTTATTGTGCCTAAATTATACCTCAATAAAAATGTAATTAAAAAATCACTTACACAAACATACAAAATATTGAATGTATAGGAATAAATCTAACCACAGTGTTTGAGACTTCTACCCAGAAAACTGCTGAGAGAAACTAGAGAAAACGTAAATACATGAAGGGATAAACCATGTTTATAATATGATATATGGAGAGGATTACAGAATAGTAGGAAATAAATAATGCTGAACGATGTGAAAAAAGACATAAATTAGAGTCAATTTTACCAGCAAATTAAACTGAGGTTTGAAATAACCAAACTTCTCAACAAAATACTTTTTAAACTACTTTAAAATTGATCCCTAACCCTATAGGATAATAAGAACATCAAAGTGAGGTAAAGAATTGTAGGAAATAATGTGGTACCAAGGCTGTCTTTTGTGGTAATGGCTTCTGTTAACCCTTGAGCCTCTCCTTTACCTACTGCATTGTGTGCATATGATGGCAGATAAAGTCGAGGGCCTGCCTGAAGTGGGGATGCTAAATCCAGAATTTACAAAACACAAAAGGGCAGGAGATATGATGGGGTTCAGCACACACTGTCCCAAAATATGGCACACCTTGGCATACTATTTCAAGTGGAAGGAATCCGAGAAATGGCAGATAAGAAAGGATTTTCTGATCTTCCACTGAAGCAGGCCGTAAGACCCACATGTGAGAAGTACCCTCCTGTACTTGGATGAAAGGAGCAGACTTGTCTGGAGACAGAGGGACATTGAGAGGAAGTTGTTTTCCCAAGTTTACTACACTTAGCTCATACCCCTTTTGGTCCTAACACATTTTTCCACAACTCTACTCTTCATCAAACCTAGCAAAAAAATACCCAGGTTTAACTACTTCTTCAAGGTCTTCATTTCTTTCTGAAAGCTCCCATGCCAAGGTGAGATGGGGAAATGGAAGGACCCCATAAAAATCAGCTTTTGTTCTTCTTCCTGCTTTCTGTTCTTGCCAGGACATGCAACCCCAGCCCACTTTACACATGCCTCAGAATGCCCTCCTGGTAAGGAACAAGGAGTTCATGATTCCTCTAGAATAGATGATATCTAAGGGAGGGCCAGGTGAGAAGGACCTGAGGAAGCCAGCATATGTGCATTCCAGACCAAGGCTCTATACATCTTGATGCCAAGGTTCCCTGGCTCCAAGAATAACACCTGGGCCTTGGTCTTCTAACCAGTTCCTGGATGCCTGAGGGGACACGTATACCAGAATCTGAACAAAGACAACACCCCCTCCTTCCCTTTCTGAGTTTGTCGAATGCTGTGTCTGTATCTGAGCTCTCTATATCTTCAATAAATTCTGCTCTTATTTCCTGTGGGCTCATGTTTGATTTCCATCCTACATGAAGCCGAGGACCCTCTTGGCTGCTCCTGCAGGACCCTCTGGGTCCCCAGACTCAGCCTGCCTGCATCAAAGGAAAACTTATATTAAATAAATGTATGCTTTTCTCTTCTTGATCTGTCTTTTGTTACAGGGCTCCACCCAAAAGCCTAGAAGGGTGGAGGAAAAATATGTTTTTCCTCCCCTATAGATACTGTGGTTGAAAAGCATCATAAACAATAAACAGAAACTAAATAAATAAATAAATAAGCAGATATAATATATTTAAGTGATGAGATGCAGAACGAAAATAACAATGTTTAACATATTTAAGAAATAAAAGGAAAACTTGAAAAATGAAAGAGTAGGGAGCAATCAGATTTAAGAACAGATTTAATCAAGAACCAAATAAAATTTCAGAAAGCAAAATACATACAAGAATGGAAAAATTAAAACTCAGCAGATGAGGGGTGCCTGGGCGGCTCAGTCGGTTAAGCGTCCAACTCCGGCTCAGGTCATGATCTCACAGTTCATGGGTTTGAGCCCTGCGTCAGGCTCTATGCTGACAGCTCAAAGACTGGAGCCTGCTTCAGATTCTGTGTCTCCCTTTCCCTCTGCCCTCCCCCTGCTCGCTTGCTCTCTCTCTCTCTCTCAAAAACAAATAAACATTAAAAAACAAAACAAACAAACAAAAAAACCTCAGCAGATGAGACTTCATGGAAGAGGGAATTAGTGAATGGAGAAGAAAGTATCCAGAGAAGTGTTACAGAGTCAAAGAGATGGAAAACATAAAATAAAGGTTAAAAGGAATAAATAGTAAAGTAGTAATAGAAACAGAACAATAGAGTAACTAATTGGAATTCCAGAACAAGATAATAGAAGGGAGAAGAGCCAATAATCTGTATGGGGAACAAAAATTAAACACAGCCCCTACCTCACACATATACATATATGAATTCAAAGATCACCCATCAACCTAAACATTGAAGCTACAACTATTACCCTCTGAAAGTAAACATAGGAGACTATGTTTGTGATCTTGGAGAAGATAATCATTTCTTAGCAAGAAGGCAAAAAGCATTCATCTTAAAGGAATATCATTGGGAATGCTGACTTTATCAAAGTTAAAATTTTCTGCTGATCAAGAAACATGAAGGGAATGAAAAGGCAAGCTACGGACTGGAAGAATATATTAACGGCACATATATCTGACAAATGGTTAGCACTGAGAATATCAAGTTATAAAGTACTCTTACAAATTAATAATAAAAGAAAAACAACTCAATAAAAAATGAGCAAGACTTCAACAGACACTTCATTAAAAAAGATATATGAATGGCCAGAAAGCACAGGAAAAGGTGCTCAACATCATTAATCAGATGAAAATTAAAACCACTAGAGGACCTAGCTTGACACTACTTGCATGTCTAAAATGATCAAGACAACACTATGTGGTAGCAGGAGGGAAAAAAAGACAACACTTTATTGGCAAGGATGTGAAGCAATTGGAAGTCACACACTTTGTTGGTGGGAGTGTAAAATGACACAACTACTTCGGAAAAATGGGTGTCCCTGCCGTGTTATAAACTGTGCTTTTTACCTTCCTTTCTTGTATTACATGGGCCAAAGCTTTCCCCTTTGTGCTTAAGCTGGTTCAGATCAGGTTTGTCTTGAGAGCAGCCAGGGAATTCCGTCCTACACTAAAAGATAAGATACGTGGATGGTACCACTGGGTATGTGTCGCTGTTATGCCAGGCAATGTGGAACTTGGACTGCTTAACCACAGGTCCATAGGCAAGGACTCGAACGTCCCACTCAGATACGCATCCACAAAGCCAGAAAATCTGAACTGTGAACTACATGTCATTTGTTACTCTTTCCCTGGCTGTGCCCTTGTGTTTTCTGCCTACAGTGGCCTTCTGATGCAGACAATCTGGGTCAATAAACATGAATGGTTAAAGAAGAAGGGAGAGGAAAATGAGAAAAATCATGAAATAATAAATGGCAATGGTAAAATATTAATTTGAAAACCAACTTTGGGGACTTGCATAATGTACATGCAGTCCACACAACCATAAATTAAATATTAGCAAAAACAATTGTATAATTTTCATGATTATACAGACTGTGGCCTTCAAAAAATGCTAGTGGCAGTAGACACAGTACTACATTTAAGTAAGACATTAAGTAAGATACTTGCACATTCCAAGAATTAAGGCAGCTGGGCCTTACATAGACTAGTGGGTACACACAAGAACATTCTGAATTGGAGTTCACATTTTTATGATGTTAGACAAATGCAGTAATAAATCAAATGGAAAACATGGTATTAATTTACCTTCAAGTCCCATGTACATATAAATAACCTTAAACTATCTGTGTGACTGCAGGGTATACTTTCCTTCCAGAGCTCTGTATTTCTCAGGCTTTCAAGCACTGGAGAAACCAGTCAGGTGGGACATATATCTGGATCAACATTATTTCTGTTGGAGACATTCATTCTTCGGTTCTTTACCTTGTGGCTCTTGGCTTACTCTAATGCAGCCAAAATAACCACCTGCTACTTTGCTTCACCATATTTTCCACTTGACCTTTCTTAACATGTAGAACTTTGGACAAAGAATAACACATACCTGTGTCATAATGCACAATAAGTCTTTTGCTGTGATTGCCCACAGTCTGTGGCTCAAAGTCCACTTCCAGTTGCATGGACTCTCCCACATTAAGAGTTCCAACAGGTGGCTCTACGGAGAAAGGCCTGCAGCACACATGGAGACGCACCATCAGAACACATCCTGACACGTGTGAGAGGAGGAGAAGATACAGACAGGACTTGTAGCTCTGTAGACAGCTCAGACCCCCCGCCCCAACTGAATGAATCAGAAGTACAGTATACTTTACCCCCTAATGTGAAAGATTTGGTTTTTAAGGTTAAAATAGCAGTAACAGATCAACAAGTCTAAGAGAAATTTAAATGGTATCATAATATTCTTGTTTGTGTCCTTGGCTTTCAGCCATTCTTTTAGCATTCATTGAGTGATTCCAGCGGTCAGACTTAAAACATGTATGCAAATACTGTGAGCTGCAACAGAAAAGTACCTTCAAAGGGATAGAAATCAAGTTTTGTGACAGTTCAGTGAAGTTTTCATAATGGAAAAATATATCAGAGTCCCAAAAGATCACACAATCACAGGAAGATAATTTGAGGGCAGTTTAACAAGGGGTCTATTGAAAAGGGGCTTAGGGATATACAGGAACTACAAAAGATGATACAATCCCCCAGGGCTATAAACAGTAAAGCCTTTATGACCTCTAGGCCCAAAGAGCCAAGGAGCAGCGGTGGTTTTGAAGCCCACAAGAGTCCTACTTGAGAATGCTGCCTTATGAGGAGCAAAGAGCTTCAGTCAAGACAGACAGCCCAGGTGGCCTCACAGAGAAGACACTAGGGGAGAAACTGTCCTGACCTCACATCCTCCTGTCTCATCACCTGCTGGGACCCCTACTGGCTGAACCGAACTAGAAGCCAAAGCCTTGGGAGTCTGCTGACCTAAGCCATACAGGTCAGCCCTCTGGGTGACAGCAAGCTGGAGAAGGGTGGAGAACATTTAGAAAGGCAAGCTGGGGGGTGTCTGGGTGGCTCAGTCGGTTACGCGTCCGACTTCAGCTCAGGTCATGATGTCATGGTTCATGAGTTCGAGCCCCAGGTCAGGCTCTGTGCTGAAGCTCAGAGCCTGGAGCCTGCTTCAGATTCTGTGTCTCCCTCTCTCTCTTCCCACCCCACTCCCCTGCCCACCCCCATTCATGTTCTGTCTCTCTGTGTCAAAAATAAATAAACATTAAAAAAAAATTTTTTTTTTTAAAAAAGGCAAACTGGGGACAAGTCCTGTGTGGAAAATAGAATTTGGGCATGTAGACATTATGGAGTGATAGGGTAGATTTGGGAACAGGAAATAGTTTCATCTAATTTCCCTGGAAGTGTTAAGAGAGAAGCTGGATCTGACCATGAAGTACCTTAAATAACTTACAGCATTCTTCCTTTTCAATAAAAAACCCAGCCCATTTAATTATTTTCATGGTCCATTTCACTTCTCTAAATTGCTAGTTTTTCAAAGTAATGCGTTGTACAATGTATCTGGCAGGCTAAGCTGCTTCTGATTATTTACTTCCATCACAACCATTTTTTAGTTTCATCCCTTAAATCTTTCCTTAGATAATGAATTTAATGTCAGAAAACCTGAACTTTCTTTGGTGAGGAGATAGCTGTGGCAAGGGTAGCACTTGGTGGTACCTGTGATCATCATTGCAAGATGTTCAGTGCTTCCTACCACGGGCCACTGTTTATTTCCTCTGGGGCTCTCTACTTGGATCTCCCTCTACTTTCACTTCTTTATCTTCCCATGCCTTTGTGATTTTCCCACACCTACAGCACCAATCCTCCAGCGAACTCCGGGCATTTCTGTCGAGGCTCTATGCAGTAGTGGTCCTTAGCATGAAGCCACGTAAGAAGTTCAAAATCCAGCTCTGCCATGACCTTACAGCAAGTCACTGAACATTTTGTCTCTACGGGGGTGATGACAGCACCTACTTCATAGGGCTGTAGGGAGGACTAAAGGAGCTGGTACAGGTGAAGAGCTTAAAACAATGCCTGGCACATAGGAAGTGCTAAACAAGTGTTTATTATTAATGTTATCTCTCTCACTGGCAGCCTCTAGATGGGAGATGGCCTGAGGATGATCTTGGCTGTTTAGATGAGTTCAAGGTCTTATTATTCTCCTCTCAATACTTCACACTGCTCTAGGGATACTGCAAAAAACATACACAGGTAGTAACACATTCATCTTTGTTCAAACACCTTCAGTGGTCCTCATAATCTATGTAATCAAGTTCAAAGTCCTAGGCATTTGAGGTCCCATGCAATCTGCTCCCAACTACATTTTGCATTCTTATTAAACACATACATCTGTCCAAATGTCCCAAACATCTGTCACATTCCAAGTCAGAATGGGGAGGGACAGGGTGAGAGGGCTCTGCTGTCTACACTTGAACCTCACCTAGCACTGCATCACCTCCCTCTTCCAACTAGACTGTGCCCTCTACACAGACCACTAAGGTCACACAAGAATACTTACCATTTTCCACAGGTCATACTTCTCCCAAAGCCACTTAAAATTGCTCAGACTCAAAGCCACCTCTTAGATAGACTCTTCCCTGATTCTCTCTCTTGTTAACAAAGCCTCTTTCCTCTCAGAGCTGTGACTTTCTTTTCACTTCTTACTTCAGTTCACCTTGTACTACAGTTAGTTTTCATGCCTGACCCTGTCAATAGCTACAGACTCTTGAGATGACAGGAAAGGGAAAGCAAATAAACTTCCATGAGCACGGACTCCATACTGGGCACTACACTGGGCACCTTACATATGCCAAACCTTGTAATCCTGGAAAAAACCTGCAGTAAGTAGGTACTATTATTGCATTTTAGACATGAGAAAATAGATGCTCCAAAAGGGCAGGCAACTGGCCCAAAGTTGCCCAACAGGTAGTGGTGGAGTTGCCTTCAAGTTCAAGTTCTTCCTGCCTACCCAAACTATCCCTGAACATAGAAACCACCTAGTTAGGCTTATCTTTGTGTCTCTCACCCCCCCCACACAGTTCTGTACTCACAAAAGTCTCTCAGAAGAGGTTGTAGATTGAATTATAACCAACTTTCAGAGTGAAATAAAAATATCTGTAATCATTAAATAATCTTTATAACATCTTGGTGGAACAAAAAAGGAACAGACTTTCAGTATCTCAAGAATCCCTGCTTCCTGAGATGAAGGTAAGTCATCCAAAATAAATCTCACAGTCTTAAAAGTTTTTTCCTTCCTTATGGCATCAGTAAGAATCTTGAGAATTGACAACTGGGCCCAGTTTCCTGACTTTGGGAACAATGTTGTGATATTTTCTTCTATCTTTGCTTCCCTAGTTTCTAATATTTTTCTTCCTACATGGTGCTTTCATTTTCTTTTCAAACATTTCTTGGTGGCAAAAGGCACAGTTTTGAAATCAATTGGATAGCATTATCTCAGTTGCAAAACCCAAGCTAATTTTCTATGGACAAGGAGACCCCTCTCTAGGACCTCCAGATATCCAAATTCTATACAAAGGTAACAGATACTTTCCTGTTGTGCTCACTGTGGGGTTTATATTATATTAAATTTCTTCAGCAGTTAAAAAATCACCTGGGATCACCAATGTTACTTAGCCTAAGCTTTCTCAATAAATCAGATGTTAATTGGGTAGAGTGTGTTAAGTTCTGGTGCTTAAACATTGTCTATAATTCGATTTCGTACTTCATTTTTACCACAGGCAGACAGGCTGAACTGGCCAGAAAATATCAAGTATCAGAAAATGCTCTTAACTAAGAGGTAAAAGGCATTGTCTCTCAAGGGCATAAGGCTGGCTCTGTCTATCAAAATGTTTGGTTTTGATATAATATTCTCATTAATACTGAGTGCTTGATTAGGGACAGAACCCGAGTTCGTGAAAAATCAGGAGACATAACAAAGATTTTGAGTTTTCGTTCAATTCCCTATAAACTGCTCTTGAAAACTAATATTCTGGTTCAATTTAGATTCAATATTTTAGCAAAAGGTCAAGATTAGCTGTTATATTAAATATGGAATATAATATTAGTATGTTTTCTTCAGATAATCTTTCTTATTAGCTGATTCCTAACCTGAGGTTTTAGAGTTTGAGACTGCTTCCTAAACTTTTCTATTGCACCTTCCAAAATTAATCTTACTTTAAGAGTCAAAATTATTCTGGTACCTACTAGACTTGCACATCAAATCTGTAATAAAGTTGAAGAGTAATTGTTTATGTTCTCTGTATATTTTACAGTACATTGCAACTCCTTTTATTCATATAAAACCCATTATGCCTATTTTATAGTACTGGGAGCATTTTTTTTTTTTACTTTAAATTATTGTACAGGTTTATAGCTGTAGCTTTGCCTTTGTGATATACGGTTGGATAGGCATCCTATAAACATTTATTGAGCACTTATTTCTTCTAGGCACTATATTTGATGCTAGGAAAATACAAATGAAAAGAGTTAGATACAACCTTTGCATTTGAGAAGCTCATATTCTAATGAGGGCAACAGACAGGCAAATAAAGTTTTATTTTTAAAATTTATATGAACCCAACCATTTATAAACTTAGCCATTAATTAAATCGTTATTTCAATAAAAAGAATATGATCTGTTTTTTAAAGAATTTCCCATGAGATACTGTTTCTAACTGTGTATTGACTCTAAACGGGACCAAACAGGAGACCCTAGGTTTTTTCACTGCAAAGTCTCACAGTATATCCATTGCCCTCCCATGTCTATTGGCAATCATATTAACTGAAAGAGTGGTCCTCACCCCTGTGGGGGCAACAAAACCACCTGTGCATTTTTTAGAAAGGATGCTTGTCAGGGCATCTCCCCAAGATTCTGATTCAATGCAATGTGACCACAAGTTCAATTACATCCTTTCTCATTGTAGCCAGCAAGGTTCTCAGTCGAAAACAAAAGAAACCAACTCTGGCTAACTTAAACAGAAAAGGAATTTATTGGAAAGATTTGGGGTAGCTCACAAAATTGAAAGCATGGTTGGAAAATACAATTTTGTGGAAAGAACATGAAATTACTGTATCATGAATAGATACTATATCTAAACAGAAAAGCAAAAATATTTGCAAACAGGGAATTTGAGAGATTGATGAGAGAG